GTTGGCAGCCTTGAGTCGTTTTCTCTCCCGGTCTGCTGAGAGGGCTCTGCCTTTCTTCAAGGTTCTGAAGAAGGCTAATACATTCGAGTGGGACCGGGAGTGCGAGGAAGCCTTCCAGCAGCTGAAGGAGTACTTAGTCTCAGATATTGTTTTGTCAAAACCCAAACCGGGTGAGATTTTGTACTTGTATCTGGGGATTTCCCAAAACGCTGTAAGCTCTGTTTTAATAAGAAATGAAGACGGCCAGAGGCCTATTTACTATGTGAGCAAAGCACTGAATGGGGCTGAAAGCCGGTATACTGCCATTGAGAAAACGGCATACGCGCTTTTCATAACGGCCAAAAAACTGACCGCATACTTCCAAGCTCATACTGTGGAAGTACTGACCGATCAGCCGCTTGGACCGATCCTTCGAAATTCAACCTCCTCAGGAAGGTTGATCAAGTGGCGATGATGCTCACTTAGTTCAAGATAGAGTATAAACCAAGGACTGCGATTAAGGGTCAAGCTTTGGCAGACTTCCTCGTTGAACTGACCGGTCTGGAGCCCAAAGCCGGACCTTCCCATACGGTCGAACCGTGGTGGGATATGGCCGTTGATGGGGCCTCTGGACCGAAGGGATGCGGTGCCGGCGTAGTCTTCACTACCCCGGAGGGATTCAAGATTTACCATGCCCTGATTTTCAACTTCAAGCTCACCAACAATGAGGCGGAGTATGAGGCGTTGGCCGGTGGCCTCAGATTAGCCCGGACACTCGGAATAAAAAGGATGAAGATCCGTTCCGACTCAAGTCTAGTAGTCGGACAGGTCAATGGTGAGATGGAGGTAAAAGAGGATCGCCTGGCCCGGTATGGTGATCTGGTCCGAGCGCTTCTAAGGGAATTAGAAGAGTTTCGTCTGACTAGGATACCCCGGTCGGAAAACGCTGATGCAGACATGCTTTCAAAATTGACGCAAGCTTGCCCAGAGCATGTGTCAAAATTGGCGAAAATTAAGATACTGGACGTACCGAGTACAGACCGGTTTGAAGTCGCGGCCATCCAACCGGGCCAGACTTCAGCGACCGGGATAATCGGAGCAGACGATGACTAGAGATACGAACTCATGGAGTATTTGGAGACCGGTCAGAAGCCTGATGACGAGGAACGAGCCAGGAAGGTGGTCCTACGGGCTCCACGTTTCCAGGTAATCGATGGTCATCTATACAAACGTGCCATTGGCGGACCACTCTTGCGTTGCCTCACCAACCCAGAGGCTGAACGCGTAATTGCCGAAGTACATGAGGGAGTTTGTGCAGCCCATCAAATGTCCCGCACTTTGGCTCAAAGGATCATCCTGCTAGGCTACTATTGGCCGACCATTGTGGGGGACTGTGAGAGGTATGTCCAGAGATGTAGGACGTGCCAGGTTTTTTACAAACAGTCGGGAAGACCGGCCACTTATTACCAACCAACCTCTAATGTCATACCGTTTGCCCGGTGGGGGATTGACATTATTGGAGCCTTCCCGGTTGCTCAAGGTGGGAAGAAGTTCGTGATGGTGGCTATTGATTACTTCACCAAATGGATTGAGGCTGAGGCGATGGCCACCATAACCGTACGGCAGTGCGAGAAATTTGTTTGGAAAAACATTATCACCCGGTTTGGTGCCCCTAAATTCATTGTCACCGACAACGGACCCCAGTTTCGCAATCCCCGGTTCACTGCATACCTTGCTAGCTTCGGGGTCAAGCACAGCANAAAAAAAGAAGAGAGAGAAGAAGGCCGGGGATTTCAGATCCCTGGAAATGGAGGGACCGGCGCCTCGTCATGGAGCTCGGGCAGAGAAAGGACCTTGGGCTGGAAGCTTTGAACCCTTTGCACAAGGATGCCATAGAGGGCCTTCTGCTCTGAGTACTGGCCGCTTTCGAACCCGTAGGTCCCAATCTCGTCCACCAGGCCGGCCGATACCGGATGCTTATATAAACCCTGGAAGAAGCGGATGGCTGTCTCCCGGTCTGGCAAGGCCTCGGCAGCGAACTCTTCTGGCGCCTGAGCTGCCCAGGCAGCGGCAACGGCGGCCCGCTCCGACTGCTCTTTCTGCAGCTCATCGCTAAGCCGAGCGATCTCCTCAGCAGACCGGGCGTTCTCATCCCCTAGCCTCTGGTTCTCCTCAGCAGCCCGGGCGATCTCGGCCTCCAGCTGCTGGATCTTGGCCTGAGCCTGCTCGTCGGCCTCTTTTGCAGCCTTGAGGAGACCGTCGTGCTTGGCATAGAGCTGGCGGTAAATCGCACTGTGCTCTGTCCATTTGGCCTCTATCTTCTCTGCCTTGGCCCGGGCAGCCTGGGCTTCCTTCCGGCATTCGACCATCATGGCCTCCATCCGAGCCTTCTCCTCATCCATCGACTTCACCAGCCGGGCAAAGTACTCCTCCCCGATCCGGCCGACCTGCTTTAAAGACATGGAGAGTTTCTCAGACAAGTAAAAAACAAAAACAATAAGGATAAGGAAAGGGGAATTACCTCATTCAGGTCGGCCCGAAAAGCTTGGAAAAGCTCTTCGTTCGACCGGGACATCAGGAGCCCAGAACGAGGCACATTGGGCCCCTTGCCGGCGTCGGAGGACTGGGGCCCTTGGTGAGCTGGCTGGTTGACCTCTTCGGTCCTCCGCCTCTTCCGTTGGAGAGACTCCTCAGCTACCTCTTCCTCGGCTTCGCCCTCCTCGTTGGGCTGGCCTGCCCTCCCAGCTTGGGATGTGTGCCCGGCCTCCCCCATCAGGGTGTCGAACTCGAAGGTATCTACATTGATGTAGAGATCCCCCGAGTGAATGGGCTGGTTGGTCCCCTGATGGGATTGGGTTGGTTGCTCTTCCAGGGAGAAGGGCTGGCTGGATGGAGGGTTGATGGGCTGAGCAGTGATGGGCTCCTCAAGCACTATCTCTGGGACGGCGAACTTGGATTGGAACTTCACCACTGAAACAAAAAAGGAACTGGTTAGAAGAATGAAGTTGAGAACAAATTGAATCAAATGAAAAATGAGAAGGGCGGTTGATTGACCTTTCTCCTTCTTCTTCTTCGCCGGGCGTGAAGGACCGGCATTGGTAGTGGCCGGGGCTTTGGATCCCCTCGCCTGGCGGATGGGGATGGCTTCGGGGATCGCCCCGGGCAGAACAATCTCCGGTTCGGGATCAGTCTCCCGGCCGGGGTAGACGCTCCACTTCCCAACGTGGTACAGACCGTGGGTGGAGGCGTCCCCGGCCCGGAGAGTGGCTTCCCAAGCAACCAGGTCGTCGGCCTCCGCTGGTTTGACCTGGCGCTTCATCCTTTTCCCCCAGACGTTTTGGGCAAAAGGAAAGGCAGTCGGGGGGAATTTAACACAGACATATTTGTCCTTCCACTTCTTGTTAGAGGGTGGAAGGCCACAAAGGAATGCCCGGCCTTGGTGGGAAGACACCACCACGAATCCAAGGGTTTCCTTGGACCCGGGCCAGACATCGAACATGTAGTCAAAGAGATGAAGGGAGAGAGGAATACGGAGAAACCGGCAGACGTTGATGAAGCTGCCTAACAAACGATGACCATTGGGGGCCAGCTGCCCGGGCATGATCCCGTAGGTCTCAAGGAAAAGGACTTTGAATGGGTGAATAGAGAATTCACCCAGGTCCTTGATCGAATGGTAATGGATACCAATCGACGTGCTGGCGTGGAGAGGTATAATACTCTTCCACGTTGCCCGGTAGGTCAATTGATACCCATCAGGCATCAGATTACGCAGTTCGTGGACTTGGGGCTTCTGCATGTACGACGGTTGCTCCTGGAGCAACCGGTCGTCCAGCTGGATGAAACCCTCGTCCCCGGACTGGGTAGTCGAGACCACATGCGCCACGGAAGAAGAGGGAGCGCAAGTGGAAGCATCGGCCGGCTTCTTCTGTGGAGAAGTAGCCGGGTGCTCAGAGTCAGAGGAGGAAGAAGAAAAGGAACCGAAGGTTGGGGACCTGCCACTAGAACCATAGGAGTGAACGGACGGGTTCTGGCTATCCTCATGGTCAGACATGACTCAGAAAGGGAAGGAAAAAAAGACTTACTTGGAGACGGTTAGAAGACTTGGAGGACTCGGAAATAGCAGAAGAAGCCGGGCAAGTTTTTGAATCGAAGATTTGCAAGTGAAGAAATTCCAAGGAGAACGACGCTTTATATAGGAGAGATGCCGCCCAGACGGGCGAATAAGGAAATGACACGTGGCAGCTGAAATGATTTGCCATCATAACCTCTCGGGGAGACGAAACAGCACATTAAATCGGCGGCTCTGAACCCGATTTCAAGAAGATTCTCCCGCTTTGGACGCTCGGTTTTTGAAAATTCAAAAATCAAATTTCAAATTTCAAATATTTTGAGTTAGGAGCTGGTTTCCCGAGACCATTTTCCCGCCAAAAAGCGACTGGGCAGTTCAAATTTCAAAAGATAATCGCATGTGCTTCCCGCTCCTGATGGTCCCCACAGGACCAGGAATCGGAGGACTCCTTGATGGGTAAATACCCATGGATGCCACCCGGTTGGTTCGTCCGACTGGGTGGTGGTCGAAGTGGCAGAGCGCACTTTCCTCAGACCGGGCTCTCCAGGTGCTCTATGGGACCGGTCAGAAGGCTGACCGGTTGGATAACCAGAGACGTGCTTGACGTGCTTAGCTTTATTATAAATACCCCTAAAATCCTCATTTGTGAGGTATGTTTTAATANCCCATGGATGCCACCCGGTTGGTTCGTCCGACTGGGTGGTGGTCGAAGTGGCAGAGCGCACTTTCCTCAGACCGGGCTCTCCAGGTGCTCTATGGGACCGGTCAGAAGGCTGACCGGTTGGATAACCAGAGACGTGCTTGACGTGCTTAGCTTTATTATAAATACCCCTAAAATCCTCATTTGTGAGGTATGTTTTAATAAACCTTCACGGCTTGTACTTTGTAATAGTCCCAGCATTATCAATAACAAACCGGGTTACAGGTGTTTCCACCTACAGCCCTTCCGATTACTTTTACTTAGTGTTTGCGTGGTAATTTACACCATCAATATTATTTTCCATATTCTTTGCGGAGCTTACGAGAACAGATTTCCAATTTTGTTGATCGAAACTCTAAAATTTATTATTTAGCTACTAAACATGAAGAGATTCCTTTTTTCTATATAACAAGGTTAAAGTATACAAAATTTGACCAAGAAAAGTCAAATGAAAATATTAAATCCGAATGGAGACTAATAAGATCAATACTAAGTTACAAGTTACAACCACATCAAAGAGAAATATAATTTTAAATTTATAATTATTTATATTTTGATAAAACATTTTGTATATTGACGAGAATACTATCAATGACTTGAATGATTTTGCATTATAAAAGTGAAAAAGAAAAGTTTGCATATGATCTTATGAGATACTTATCTACGATGAATGAATATCAGCACAATATATACGATGAGATAATGGAAGTTGTGATACCTGAAAGAAGAGGTTTCTTTTTTTATGTATGGTTACAGTGGAACTGAAAAAATATTTTTTTATGGAAATCAGTGTTTATTTCTCTAATGTCAAATGATAAGATTGTCTTGAATGTCACATCCAGTGTTAATGCAGCAATAGTTTTTCATGGGGGAAGGACATGGGTGAATGACATTACACTTGAGATTCTCAATCTCTTTGGGCGATTGCATAACGTGTGCCATCAAACAAGCGAGTCCGAAAGCAGAACTAGTCCAACAAGTAAGTCTAAAATTATGAGATGGAGCATGTATGATGAATAGATTTATTTTTAAGGTGCTAGATCACAAAATGAGAGATGCAACGAATTTCTCTAATAAAGACTCTAGAAATGAACCATTTGGAGGGAAAATAGTTGAATTCGGACGGGAAAAAGTAGGAATCGAAGGGAAAATAGTTGTACTCAGAGGTGATTTTTGGCAAACTCTTCATGTTATATCCAAAACTTCAAGAGAGAAAATTGTGAGTGCTATGATCTATTCTTTAAAATTATGGTCGTATTTTAAAATTTATATGTTAGCGAAGAATATGATATTACATTCTTCTACGTCCTCTATCCCAGATAGGGACACACAAATTTTTTCTGATTGGATAATTAAAGTTTGAGATGAAAAACTTAGACAAGTGATTAATGAAACAACTGACCTTAAAATTTCGCATAAATTTTTAATTCTAGACACAAGTTATTTTGTGAAGAGTATAGTGGACTTCACTTATACTAATTGAACCTATTGGAGAGTATGAAAATTTATTCATTTTTTAGGATAGGGCGACCATGCTTGAGGTTGTAGAAATGGTAAATGAATTTGTCATATTCCTCATTCACTAATATGAAATGGTGTGCC